CCTTTTTCTTTTTTTTTTTTTTTTAAATGAAGAAATCAATTTGAGAACTAGAAAATCCTGGTGCGTTCTTTCATTTGAATAGAAAACTTTTGGAGCATTGATTCTTGTTTCTGCTTCTTTCAGTTTGATGAAGACTTAGCATGGGCAAACAATTACGAAGTATGATTTAAATCACAGGTCAATATCGGAGAGAAAAAAATTAATAGGTGCTTACTTGCAATATTATTTGGTCAGCAGTGGAGAGAGATGCATTATAGGCACCCAAAAAGAGAGGAACATGGTTTGCCTTCATCAAAGTATAGTCAGCTCGGACCAGAGTTAAGAATATTTTCAGTAAAGACTCTGAAAGAAAATGGATTAACAATTAAAATGAGGAAAAATAAAAACGATCTTTCTAAAATAAACATCAAATGCAAGCGTGTCTAGATTATCAGAAATTTATATTCCCTGCATTAGATGGTCACCTCTTAATTATTCATTCCTCATTAATTAAAATTATGCGTAAAGAAAATCCTCTCTGCCTCCTAGATAAAAAAAGCAAAGGACATCATGAAGATCAAAATTTTACCAACAAAAAAAATATACACTGACTAACCATAACTCAAAACAGCCATTATAAAAGTGAGAGAAATTGAATACACAATAGCTATTCTAAGCAGCTGATGGCCACTTTTCGCAAGTTGCAGAGCGCAAGCGCATAATTATTTCTTAGTTAACGAGAGGAAAAATCGAAGATAAAACTTAAATACCATATAAAGTGCAAAATATCTGTAAAATTCATTCTATGTAACCTTCTGTCAAGTTTCTCGTCCCTAGGATAATCCACATAGGACAAAAGAAATCAGTTATTGCACGGAAATTAAAAACTCATCTCATTAAAATGCACTAGAAAAGTGTCAAAGCAAAATTTATTTTTTCAAGCTAAATAAAAAAACCGCCTTGACATTATTTATTTTCCTCAGGGGAGTATAGTAAAGGATCAATGAAAGCATTTATCAAACAAAGATTCAAGATGATGCGGCCATGAAGTTGAATTACTGTTCTAAAGATTGTATTTGTATTGATTTTGAACACATTTTTTATACCTGGACTTTCTTTCTGGCATTGCCCTAGACTCTTAGCTCCTTCCTCGCCAGTTCACAATTTTTAGACTCATCATCATTTAACATAGCTCAAACTCACCATTACTTTTCAGAAAAATCTGAAGCCAGTCTATTGAGAAAATCTCCTTCCACTGGCTACTAACAAGAAAAATAATTTCTATTTTTTAAATAAAAGAAAATTTTATTTGGAGTAGAAGTTACCTTTACATTCAGATTTTGACAAAATTGTTTTGATGAAATTTGGATGTGAAACCAATAATTCAAACAACGACTGAGCACCCTCTGACTGATTTGATGAAAATACTGCACCAGACAAGACAGCAAGACAACTGAGGAGGGGTTGATTTTCTTCACCGAGACCATGTTTGAGAGCCAATTTCCCAAATTGTGACCACACAGCTAATTTTGACAAAGAGTGGTAGTTCCTACTGGATTTGTCAATTAAACAACAGTCACTGATTGTTTCTAACAGGGAACCACTGAAAAACGAAGAGAAAATTTCCGTTTTAAACTGGCATTCAGAGAGGAATTTTCGGTACAAAGTGACAAGTTTTTTTGGATTTCAAAATTCCTTGGCTTTTCAGGAAATTAGGATATAAATACTGGGACCAATAAAAAGTTTGACATTTCATGTTCTGTGTGACTTACATCTGATCGAGTTTATGGGACATTATTAACTGCACAGTCCAACTCAATAGTAGCTCGATCAATTTGAGAGTCTGTCCAGCTTTGTTGAATAACGTTTCTAGTAACGGAATGACGTCCAAGTTGACATCGATTTCAAACCACATTTCTTCAATCTTCTTACACTCTTCGAGGGCTTCGCCATTCTCTGCAAAAGAAAATTTCAACAAATTGATTAAACGGTGATGGATAAATTTTGAGGAACCTAAATATACCATTAGACTAAATGCATTCACATTCAATGGAAGGAACCAGCTACCTTTGTACATTACTTGCCATCTTCTTCCCCTTTTAGTCATGGGAACGGAGTTCCCCATGATATTACAATCGTTCCGTTGCTTTCGCTATGGGATTCCCTATACCTCTGCGACCTTGAGCGCTTCGCCCAGTCTCCGATTTTTGGTAGATTTTCCGATGTATCAAAAACCGTTGTATTTTTTAGCCAATCATGTCTCTACGTCAAGTTGTGTTAATTTCTAAAATTCGCTTTCAGCCAGTTTTTTTCCACCTTGAGATGTCGTGTCTGACTGGTAAATCTGCGCAGAACCACGAA